GATCCTCCCAATCTCAGCCTCCCCCCTAGCTTGGAAAGACAAGCCACATGCCGCTGCACTTAACTCTGGATTAAGAAGGCATCTCTTGAACTTTTCTGTCTGAGCTGGTCTCTAACACTCTAACAGGCAATATCCTGTTCTAGTATGCCACCCGCACTTGGCTGAAACCCCCCATCTCTTAAAACCCAGGGTTTACCCTCCTTGGGCCCTGACAGCTCTCAGCTCAGGCTTGTGAGGTTTCTGTGTGGCTCAGCCTTTCTGTCAAACAGGGCAGGATGGGCTTCTCTCCATTAGAATCCACTGGCCAGTGGCCTGGGTGCTAAGGTAGATGGAGCCTTGAGCATCCGGGGTACAGCCGGGAGTGGGCAGAGCAGAACCCTCTGGAGGTCTTTTGCCCTCTCTACCAGGCTCGTCCTCTGATGCACTTCTTTCAGTCTGGCAGTCAGCAAAGACTTTTTAGCTCATTTGCAGGGAGCCACACCTCTCCTCAGCCAGCTCCCTGTTTCTCACCATCCAGGGCCAAGATCCGCTTCCTGCTCCAGCTGCTGGCAGACCACATCCCCGGGGTTGGCCTTGTGGCAAGTAAGCATGGATTGCGTGTCACTGATGGCAGATGGCACACGTGACCCCCGTCTCCTCGTTTGCTCTGTCTCCTTATATAATTTGATTCCTAGCACGGTCGAGGCAATTTGAGGTCATTGATGGGCAGATGACAGCTCGAGACCTCAGACAGTGTGGCCTGTGGAGGTGGGGGATTATTAGGCCATTTTGTGGTCCTGGCAGCCTTCCTCCTGCCTTGGCTGGAGTACCATGAAAACACCTGAGTGGAATGTCCTAAGACAGGCAGGGGGCTCTGGTCAATTTGAAGCTGTCTGGGGACACTTGACACTGTCTTGACTTCCCTAGCCTGAGTATTCTTATTTGTAAATGGGATCTCCTCACTGAGGAAGAGGTGGGGGTAGGCTGGCTCTCAGTGGTACAGGAAGCAGCTGGACTAGTAGTAGGGCAGAGCAGGTCCGGCCTTGACTCTCACTTGTTCATTGCTCTCATTGCAGGACCGCTCATGGATTACTTACCTAACTGGCAGAAGATTTATTTCTACAGTTGGGGCTGACAGACATCCAGGGAGTGGGGTGCTGGGGGGACAGGATGGCATGCTCGACTGCTCCTGGCAGGGCTTGCTTCCGCCTTGCAGTCTCCCGGGCCCCTCTTCCTTAATAAAACTGACTCTGGCAGTGCCCAAGCATGTGGCCTCTCCATGCCCACCGCCCAGCACCTCCCCTGCCCTGCGAGGTTCTGCACATGGCCCAGGTCTCCACCAGCATTCCTCCCAGTATCCACTTGACTCTGGCCGCACCCTCCTGGAGGGAGACACTGCAGCCTGCTTCTGGCTGGGCCAGGAAGCCTCCACCAGGCCCAGGATCCCTGGTCTGCACCACAAGGCTGGATATAGCCTCAAAGCGTGCAAGCAGCCACTTGCCTTGGCAGCTGGAGTAAACTGCTTTCTTGATGGCCCCTGGTGAATATGCAGAACCATACAGTGGATGGCCACTGTCCAGCATGCCTTCTCACCAGGGCCTTTGCTTGCCCTTCCCCTGCATGACCATGCCAAATAGCCTCCAACCTGTGGTGGGTCTGGTACAGCTTGGAGAGTAGACCTCTTCTCCTATGGGAGAAGGCAGCAGGCACCCGCAGTTCTTGGGTTAGGATAGGGAAGGAGGGGAGCCCAAGGTGGAGGGAAAGCCAGACAAGTGCAGCCACCCTGCTGGCTCCTCCCTGCAGAAGGGAAAGGGCCTGGGCTGTGTGGGCCTGAACTTTGCTCTCCCTCACTACCCCTACTGGCTGTCCTGTGGCAGGCCTAGCCTCTCTTTGGGGGGCTTCTGGGTAGCAATAGTCCCTCAGGCTCTGTAAAATGCCCCTGGCTTGAGGGTTGCCCTGGGAGGAGCCAGCTGCATCCCAACGTGCTTCCCCATATGCCTCTGAGAAGGGTCACCTGCCACAGGGTGGTGAACACCTGTGATCCCAGCTAGGACTGCCTAGCGAGACCCTGACTCAAAACTGAGCAGCGGGTGCTACCCAGGCTCTGTGCTGGGAAGTGATTGTGTGGCTCCAGGCAGTGGGTGAGCAAGAGGAGCCGGTCAGTGGGCCTGTGACCTTTGGCTCATTTTGATACTTGTTAAGCTTGCACTTGCTCAGTGGTAGGCTCTGCCAAGCCTGTGGAGGCAGCAGGGCCCAGGGCCCTGTCCTCAGCTCCCTTGCCAAGGAGCCACCCATGGGCACAAGCCACACTGGAGCCATGGTGCCATGTAGATGGTCCAGCTAATAGAGGGGCCACCACTGCACATGTTCCCATAGTGACTTTGCCACAAAGCCTACAGCTTTGTTGTTTTTCCGGTACTGGGGGGTGTTGGACCTAGGGCCTCACATTTGCTGGGCACTGGCTCTAACACTGAGCTACCCTTGCTGTAGCCTATGTTCATCTTTTTTGGTAGAGAAGGAGGCTAGTGTGGTGCTGCTACATGAGCACAGAAGGGGGCAGGGCCACAACTGATGGCACAGGGGGAGGACAGGGCCAGAGGTGTCCCATGGCCAGGCAAGGAACCTGGCCCTGGTATGGGCAGTGGGGAAGGGGCTGTTCAGCTTGTGGAGAACACCTGCATGGGCAGCACTGGGAGCAGTGGGTACCAAGACTTGTACTGCAGGGGAGGTGGAGTCAAGGCAGGGGCTGTGGGAATGGGGATTTGGGAAACCTGGGTAGTTTGGGGGAACACTATGGATAGAAAGTATCTAGAAGGCAAGGAAGTTCCAGGTTCCTGTAACTCAGGGTCCCCAGGATGCTGCCATTTGAGAAGAATTTGCCTCCAGGTTGTGAAAGGGTCCTGGGGAAGTTATTGTGTGGTTGAGGGCACTGGAGAGAGGGCATGGTACTTGTCTGCCTGGGGGAGATGTGGGGCCAGAAGCCAGGGCTGGGAACACAACTTTTTCTAGGCTATGAATAGGCCTAGAGCAGCAGCAGCAGCTTGGGTTGCCGTTTAAGAAGCAACTGAGTTCCTAAGTCAGATTCTGGGCCTGGCCCTCAAGTCCCCATGCCACCATGGGGGTGGGCAAGGATTTTGTTTTACAGTTCGGTGGAAGTCAGCGTGGAGCCAGCGTGATGTGCTATCTGTAAGCAGGCCAAGTTGGGCTGCAGTCAGAGGACTGCCTGGTAGAGAAGAGGCAGGTAGAGGTTCTGGCCTTGCCTTAGGTCTGTGCCTCATGTCCCCATTCCATGCACGTGCTGAGCACCTCCTGTGGGATCCCATGGTATCAACCACACTGCCCTCCTATGCTCACACCCCAAAGCTTTGGCCCTCTTGGCAGGGCTGTTGAGCTTCTGGCTCTGCCGGCCCAAGCAACAGGAACTTCATGGGAAAGGCCTCGTCCAGTGCACTCAAGGTCAGGCCAGGGCCATGGGATCCTCTCCAGCTTGTGGCTGTAGGCCCAGATGCCAGCAGGGCAGGACTGTGTGGCAATGCTGGGGTTTGGGTGCTGAAGCAATTGTTGAACCCTCTGTTGAGGGCCACACCTGGGTACTTCGTGTCCCTAACATCACAGATAAGGGAACAGGTATAGAAATGAAGTGGACAGGCTAAGTGCAGGATTTTTTTGGGGGGGGGTCCAGTCCTGGGGCCTGAACTCTGGGCCTGGGCGCTGTCCCTCAGCTCTTCAGCTCAAGGCTAGCACTCTACCACTTGAGCCACAGCGCCACTTCTGGCTTTTTTCTTTTTGCTTATGTGGTGCTGAGGAATCGAACCCAGGGCCTCATGCATGCAAGACAAGCACTCTACCACTGAGCCACCTTCCCAGCCCTGCTAAGTGCAGGATTTGAACTGAGATCTAACCCAAGATCTATGCCCTCAGTCCTTAATAACATTGGAACAAGATTTCGTTTGTTCATTTGGTCCAAGCAAGTACAAGACCCTGAGTTCAAATCCCACTACTGAAAAAAAAAAAAGACAAGGGCTAGGGGCACAGTGCTTGCCTAGCGAGTACAAAGTCCCAAATTCCAACTCTTTCAAAAAAAAATTGGTTTGGCATCTGCTGGCCATAACCAACTAAGACAAAACACAAATAGACCAGAGATTCTTGACATTGTCTCTAAGCAGGTGTTGTCACTGGGCCCTGGAACTAATGTCCTTTGTGAGGTGGCCTGGGAGTTGGCGGCGAGTTCTGTGTTGACCGGGGGAGGGGCGGGCAGAGGCTGGAGCAGGGACTTGTGGAGATGGTTCTCGCCATGCTGGGGGCTCTGTACCCCAGGGCTGGGCTCAGTCTCTTCCTCTTTTACCTCATCCTGGCAGCCGCACTCCTTCGTCCCCAGCCCCTGAGGTAAGACCGAGCTTCTGGAAGGCATAGCCCTGCCGTCACTGGGAGAGTGGGGTGGCTATCCTTGCGCTGGGGGCTTGCCAGGTCCCCCCCTCTGGGCCATCCATCTCCTGTTCACAGGGAGGTTGCACTGGCCTTTGGGGCCACAGATGAGCACCCCAACTTCTCCCACAGGTCCCAGCGGTCTGTTCCAGAGGAATTTTCAGCCCCCCTTGAGCTCTCTCAGCCGTTTTCTAGCCTGGTGGATGGTAGGATTTCACTTCCCTCTCTGGCCCCTGCTCCCATGGTGGGGACCGTGCCCAGGCGACCCCAGGCCCAGCCCACTGCCCCCAGGAAGCCTCTTTAGGGCTGACCAGAGTCTCATCCCACATCCGTAGCTCCTCCTCTGCCTACCCTCTTCTCTCTTCATAGACTATGGGGTCCGACCCAAGCACCCGTGGCCACGGGGGCCTCGGCCCCTCCTCTCCCAGGCCAGGCAACGCAAGCGGGACGGGCCAGACATGGCTGAGTATTACTACGATGTGCACGTGTGACGGGCGCCCCCCATAAAGCTATTCTGTGCAGCAGTAGCTCAGCTCTCGTGGCTTGCGTCGTGACAGGACACTCTGGGAGGGGCCCAAGAAGACATGCGGCTGTGCTCCAGACAGGAAATGGCACTTTAATAGTTGTGGCCAGGTGGTAAGACCATGGTGGGAGGCCTTCTCTCCCTGCAGCTCCCTCCTTCCCCGGGACTGCTGAGCCTGCTGGGGCCCGCGTGCTGCGGTGGTGGAGGTGGGAGCTACCCAGAGGTGCCACCGAGGACAGCAGGGAGGGACAGGGACCTCACCGCCACCTGTTGCCATTTCCTTACTGGAACGTACTTGGGAGGCGGCTGGGCTCAGCCTGAGCTCAGAGCGCCTGGTATGGGGATTGGGCAAGGGGGGAAGGTGGGCACTTGCAGGTGGGCATCATCAAGGCAAGGAGCCAAGAGCCAGAGCCCCTAGCAGGGAAGTAAGGCCCAGGATGGGGTGGAGCCTCTGCTCCCAGAATGCATTCCTTCACAGCCAGGCCCCCCTACCCCCCAGGCCTGCCCCCTCCCAAACCCCGGGCAGCCCGAGCTGTCCTCCATAGATGAATCTAATCCCATATATTACAATAAACTGCATCTGTCTCTCCCCACAACCCTGGCCCTCTGCCCTGGGCCAGTGGCCCCCACCTCCCCATCCCTTCAGCAGCAGCTGGCTTGGCTCGGGCCTGGGGCCTGGGGCACACAGAGGGCGCGGCACTGCTACTCCAGGTAGATATCTTCTGTGGGGCACGTATATTCCACAAACTGCTTGTAGAACTGCTGGAATGCGCGTCTGGAAGACAGGGGACATGCACTGTTCACTAGGAGCCTCTGCCCAGCCAGGACAGGACTCAACCTGTGACGGGTTTTCAAGCAGAAGCTTCAGGGCCCCCATGGGCTCTGGTTTCTGAGCCCAGTAGCTAGGGGTGGAATGCCAGGCACCAGGCTCTGCACTGGGGCTAGAGGTGGGCTTCCAGCTAGGGAAGGACTGAGGGGTGATGCTTGAGAAAAGCTCTAGGGCTGTAGTCAGGGTGAGCTCCAGGGTAAGCCTTGGCAGAATGCACATACATACCCCACAGACTCTGCCAGGGCTTTGGTGGAGTCTTCAGACACAAAGACATGGCAGGCAAATCGGTGGTCGGCAGGGTGTTTGGTAATGAACCCAAAGTACCTGTTAAAAAGACAGGGGTCTGTGAGGCAGGGGCTTGGGCTCTGGACCCACTCATAATGGCGGACTACTTTCCTACTTACTTGTTATTCTTTGGATGGTATCCACAGAAAGAGATGTTTTTTAGATGAAAAAAGTGGCTACATTTATTTGCCTACAGGATGGAGAAGAAAAGCCAGAAGGTCATCCAGCCTGCAGAGAAAGGGGCGGGAACACACTCACACTCACACACACACACCCAAGGCAACTTTCCTGTGGGCGCTGGGGCACACACACACACACACACACACACACACACACACACGGCAGCCTTCCTATGGGCGCTGGACACACACACACACACACACACACACACACACACACACACACACACACACAAGGCAACATTCCTGTGGGCGCTGGACACACACACACACACACCAAGGCAACTTTCCTGTGGGCGCTGGACACACACACACACACACACACACACACACACACACATACACCAAGGCAACCTTCCTGTGGGTGTTAGGACACACACACACACACCAAGGCAACTTTCCTGTGGGCGCTGGGGCCCCAGGAAGGAAGAAAGGGTAAGGGGAGTCACCTTGGCCTCCTGAGCGTCCTCAGCCTTGACCCCTATCTTCACACCCCTCACACTGATCTCAAGGACACAGCTGGAGGGCGGGTTAAAGTGCACGGTGAGGCGGCGGGTGGTAGCAATCTGTCAAGGAGGGGCAGGACCACATCAGGGCACTGTCTGTGCCTCTATCAACCCTTCCTGTCTAACAGCCTGGGCCTGAGGCCTGTGTGATTTTTTTCTCCCTCAGACAATATAGAGTAACTTCGAGTGAGCCTTTCACAAGGAGTGAGACCCAGATACCTTTTGCATAGCAGCACAGAGGACATCATTGCCCTTGTGATAGGGAACCTGGACAGAGCCCAGGAACTTCACCCGGAACTGATCCACCCAGTCGCTGTTCTTGGCCAGGGCTGGAAAGAAAAACAGAGATTCAGTAGAGCCAGCAGCAAGGGCTCAGAACCAAGCCACGGAGGGAAGTAAGAGGTGAAGAACTGGGCCACCAGAGGGTGCCATGATGCCCTGATGCGTCAGTGCGTGTGTGTGTGTGTGTGTGTGTGTGGCCTGAGTGTGTGTGTGTGTATGTGTGGCCTGTGTGTGTGTGCATGCATGTGTGTGCACGTGCATGTGTGCGCGTGCGTGTGTGTGTGTCCTGAGACCTGGGCACTGTCCCTAAACTTTTGTGCTCCAGGTTAACACTTTGCCACTTCAAACCACAAATCCATTTTAATAGTAGTTAATTGTAAATATAAGAGATATGAGTTACGTGGACTTTCCTGTCCTGGTTGGCTTTGAAAAGATCTCAGCCTCAGATCCTCAGATCTCAGCTTCCTGAGTAGCTAAGATTACAGGTGTGAGCCACTGGTACCCAGCTGCTGAGTATCATTTTTCTCAACTGAATCCCTTCTGCTTGTGCCACCCCCTCCAGACTGCTAACATCTGGAGCACATGTTGCTGTGGCAGCAAGTCAGGCAGGCCTGGTACATCAGATGAGGGGCTAGGGTCCCCACAGGTGGGGGTGGGGGAAGGGGAGAAGCACCTGCCATGTGTTCGGGCTCCTTGGTGACCTCGATGGCATAGTAGGCAGGAAAGACGCCACGGGCACCAGTGCGCATGTTGTAGGCCTCATACCAGTAGTCTTCAGCCTGCAGCTCCACTAGCAGAGGGTCATCCACTTCCAGTTCAAGTTCATCTTCGTGCCGGGGCACGAACCTGTCCCCACAAGTAAGGATTTCGTCACTCTGATCCATCCAGCTAGGCCTACTCTGGGGCTGAGAGGCCATGGTGGGTGGCATCATTAGTTCAATGAACATTGCAAGCTGGCTGGCACCTAGAGACCCATGCCATTCAGATATGCAACTATATCTTAGGAAACAAAGGCCAAGAACCAAGGCCCTGAAAAACTGAGAGGTCATAGGAAGCAAGCACCCCACCTAGAAGGGAATTGGGGTGCAGGTTCTGTATGTGGGTAGCCTTCCTCAACACCTCAGTATTAGGCCCTGTGCTCTGCCACTATCCCCCTGAGTCAGAGTAGATACCAATGGCAGGGCCCTGGGCCATGTATAATGACCAAGGCAAGGGAGGGGTGTGGCCCTCACCTGAAAATGGCCCGATGGGTTTGCTCCTGCTCTTCCCCGTTGATGACACAGGAGAACAGCCCGAAGGACTCTGCGCCTGCAGGTGAGGGACAGACTAGAGAAGGGGTTTCCCCACACACGCGCACACTTGGGGGCAAGGTGTAGGGGTGGCTAAGCTTATGCTGCCCTGACTCTTGGGCAGATGGGATTAGGGGGGGCAGGACCCCCTCCCAGGAATGCCCCATTTGGGCAGATCTCCCCGCCCCCAAACTGCTTTCCTGGCTCACTCACTGGAGGAGCGAGAGCGGCCGCTCATGAAGACGTTCAGGAACTTCTTAGAGAAGTGGACATCGGGCTCATCAGGTGTGGAGTCCTCTGAGAGGCAGGTGGGGGGCCGGGGCCGCGGGGCCTCCTCGTACTCCTCCCCGATGGCCGACTCATAGGGCGAGGAGGCGGAGGCACAGTTGTCATAGACAGTAGCCGAGTCGCTCTCATCACTGTAGTCACCGAAGCACGGCCGTAGGCTCACCAGCTCCAGCTGTGCGTGCTCGTCCACCACTAGTGTGTACTTGACTGAGTCGTAGGAGAGGGCGCTGGTATCTGAGCTCAGCGAAGCCCGTGGAGGTGGTGGCGGCTCCCCCAGGCTCCCTCGCCATCCTCCACCTGGTGGCTCCACCCGCTCTGGGGAGGACAGGCAGTCGAAGCCCTCGTCCTCCTCACTGATGGAGGGATGGGGCCGCCCTGCAGCTGAGGGGTAGGCAGCAGGGTCTGGATCAGAGCTGACCGACATTCGGCTCTCAGCTGGTGGCAAAAAGGAGGCGTTGGGCTCGGCAGGGTCTGGGGGCCTCTGCACCGGGGTCAGGTAGATCTCCTCGGTGGCCTCTAGCCTCACGTCTGCCTGGTAGTGGATTCGGTCTCGATGTGAATGGCCCCGGCCACCAGGTGCTGCAGCAGGGGGGCCACCTGGAGGTGCCATCTGGGTGGCAGCAGTGCGGCGACAAGGGCTGTCGGTGGAGGTGCCTCGATCCTTGGTGGGGGCAGGGCTGCTCTGGGGTGGCAGCTCATCACTCAGGCAGATGTGTTCATGTGGGGGTGTCTGCTCCCCTGGAGGGAAGGTAAGTTAGAGCTGAGGGCAGGGCCCCACTGGAGATCCCTTTCCACTCCCAACTTGTGCACACACAAGCCAGAACAGCCTCCTCTGGTCTGGCCTCAGCCCTAGAGAGCACATATAGGACAGGGTGATGGCAAATACTGGATCTGCTCTTGGCAGTGACCTGAGTGCAGACCAAGTGAGGTACAACTTGGGAAAGAGGTGTGTGTGTGTGTGTGTGTGTGTGTGTGTGTGTGTG